CCCCAAAACCCCAAAACCCCAAAACCCCACTATTCAACATTAATTATTAATATTGGCAGATACTAAAATAAAATATAGAAGTTTAAATAAATAAAGCTTAAAGTTGATTCGCTTAATTGAAGTTATGTATTCTTCAAATGTCATGTATTTTTCTATTGCTGTATATAGCACTAGTCTTCGCCATAATTTCTGACTGAGTATCAATTCTGTTTTCACATATCATTTTGAAGCAGTTGCCGATGCAGTTATTGCTATAGTCCTGTTCTAAAAACAACACCGACATCTTTCTTCTTGGAGACTCCATATAGTTAGTCAAACTGTTATTTCTACTTCTTCGACTTTTAGAAAATCTTTCGCAAGTTGTCTCACCTTTAAGTATGTTACATGTTTAAACTGAGAATAAAAACCTGACTTTATTAAGAATAATGTAAGTCTTACAATAAAGGAATAAAGAATGCGACACTTAGAGCAGTTATCAAGAAGCATGAAATTCTTTGGATAATTTTAGCTGTTTATGTTTCTTCCTACTTTTATTAGTCTTAAATTTCATTCACATCAATCGACAGTTCTACAAGATTAATAAAATTTGATAAAATTTACATGTAACTGTAAGCCATAGAACTGATACTAAGTAAGCAAATTAAGAAGCAACAAAGAAGTAAAACATTGAATAATTCCTATAAAATTATGTTGAAAATTTGATATTACCCTCTTCCAACACAATTATTAATCCATGGACAATGATGATCAAATCTATCCACGCATCGATCACATACATTGCAATGTCTTGACCTTGGTGTTCTAATTACTTCGCACTCGGGACAAAGACAATTAGCTTCAAAGTTATCTAAAAGCATATTGAAGTCAAGATTCTTATCTTTTTATTAAAAGCCTGGGTCTAATAGCCAAGCAAAAAGCCACAATAGCATGGTTAACCCGAACAGAGATATGACAGAGTATTTAAGAGCATTATGAGAATCATCCAAAGTAGGGAAGATGAAAAAAATAATCAACAAGAAGGAAATAAGCATTATCATGAAGTAAAAGATCAAAGTATTCAGAGATCTATGATGCTTTTTGAATTGAGTTTTTATCATTAGGCAATCTCCTAGTGAACTACCTTAATCTTTCTAAAATCATGAAATTTAAAATTATTACCAGTAACTTCGATATTTCACTTTGCAACTAATTATTTTGTTATGACTATCTATATTCTTCAACAAGATCAATTGCTCGGTGTCCTTAAATGTCTTTAATATTTTTTTCTGCACCCTTGATAAGCAATTACTTGATAGCTTTTGTTGATCTAAGATCTTCACTAGATTTTACAGCCAAATGTAAGGCGGTGAGACCCTTTGAGTCTACGGCATTAATGTCAGGATTCCAAGCAACAATATAGCTTAGAGCCAATTCTGCACCAGAAAAAGCAGCCCAATGAAGAGGAGTTGATTATCTCTTATCTCTTGAATCAATATCAATGCCTAATTATTTAAAGAAGTAAAGTGATGCTGGTTAATCACCTTAAGCAGCAACGTGTAGCATATTAATCCCTTGTTTATTTGATTAGGATGGATCTGCTCCATTTTCCAATAAATATTTGATAAGCCTTATATTTCCATGGAATGAGGCAAAATGCAAAGCAGTAAAGCCCTCCTCTCCTTTGGAATGAGTGTTGATCCAATACTTAAGTCTATCTTTATAAGGATATTCAGACTGCAAACTATCATCAATAATTTTGGACAAGTTTTCTGAGATTTTAAACTTAACAAATTCGCACAAAATCTCGCACATTTTATCAGAATTCTTATATGCTGCGAAATGAAGTGGAGAATATCCTTATCTATCATAAATTTTGCAAATGTCAATCCTGTCCTTGCAGGTATAAATATGATCTTTGAGATCAGATATCACTCCTCTTTGAATAAATTTAAAGACAAGTTTCTCTTCTCTTCTATCATCCATAGAAGAGTCAAAAGTTTCAAACGGCTAAGTTTTCTGATCCACTTTACTCTGGGGATCGTTCATTCTAAACGTATGAGACTATGAGTTAATTTCTGATTCAGATGGCTATAAAAATTCAACTATGCTTGAAGTCCTGGCTTTATTATTATCCTGATCTGTGAGTAAAGGCTCTTGTATATTTTTACTAGTAGACATTAAAAGATATTATAAATTTGCTGATCTCAAATTAAAAATCAACTCGCTTATATTTTTCAACTTTATATCATGGGGTTTTGGGGTTTTGGGGTTTTGGGG